CGAGAATGAAATATTAGGGTTTTGACAAATTTATAGACTGAAAGAGGTTTTTTCTTGTAGCTAATTACGCTTTTGTCCTCGCGTATCTTAAGAAACTACCGTCAAAGTTTGGCTAAATCACTTCAGGTGTTTCTGCAACTCTACACACTACACTACATTTTGTACTCTTCTAGTCTTCCCCTCAAGTGTTATCTTTAGAGTAGGCTCTATATCAATGATTTTAAACCCGGACCGGAGGTGGACCCGGCGGAGAGGATGAGTCCCGGATTTTTTCTTGTCGACCCAATTTTTTCCAGGTTTTGGAGGGTTGGATTGGACCGGTTGTGTGTCCGGATCGCGGTTTGATCAATCGGACCGCTCAGTCCTTTCCGGGTTTAAAAACATTGCTCTATACTATTCTCTTTTCTTAAAATTATCTTATGGGTTTGATTTTAGGTCTTTTTTAAGAGACTGTAAAATTGGACTTTGACTTCCAATTCTAGCCCTCCAAGTAAAGAAATAAAAAAAGACTAAACAGGTTTTGAAAAAAATGAAGGCAATTAGGGGGAAAATGAAACACACACAACTCTCATTTTATTCTCAAGTACAAGTACAATTGAACATGAAATCAGGATAGCCCCTTGTAAGCATTTCAAAGCCTAAAATATTTCATTATTAAGCATGAAATTCATTTTGGAGGAAAAATTTTAAACATTTCCATCTAAAACAAATAAAAACAGCACCATCGTCATACTCTATAAAATCAAACTTTTCTACTTTTAGTAATCAACCCTGACTATCTTCTTTGCTTCTCGTCAATTATGCCTCATGTGACAGATTCTCCTCCTTTCACTGACCAATCCTCCTTTCATTGTTTCTCCTTTTCCTCTTTCAACTCAGGCAGTCATGAGGATCTGCAAACAAACATCATGCAAAGAAGAAAAGGCTTTCCAACTCATAAAGACAAAGAATTATTGAAGCAATTCTACCATATTTAAAAAAAAACTCGAATCAGTACACAGCTCAGAAAGGCATCATCACCAAGGCTGTTGTAGACTTTAATGTTTCAAGAAGGACTATAGGTGACATATGGAGCAGGAAAACAATTACTAGAGAGTGTTGCCATTTATGTGAAGAGTAGAGTTGCAATGAATGCAAGCATGAAAAAAGTGTTTGTAAACATAGAGTCCATTCCAAACAATTCTCTCGCCCAAAGGACAACTATCCATCCTCTCACCCAAAGGACAAACCATCAGGGCATTGGTAGCTGCCCTTGGTATGTCCTAATCTACTATTCATTTTTGTATTAAAAGTGGTTTGATAATAAGTCATTCCAATGTAATTAAACCTTTTTTAACCCAATAGCACCCCATGTAACCCCATGTTTAAAAAATTTCACAATGTTCTCCACGTGGATGAGAGATGGTTTTCATGTCCAAAACATCACAGAAATACTATCTGACGAAGGATAAAATAGATCCACACAGAACACGTAAGTTTAAGTGCTTCATTATAAGGTCGTAAAGAAAATCTTGTCATGGCCCGCTGAAAGAAGAGAGGTTCGATGTATATGATCGAGTTACCATCCGAGGGAGCGACCATCCCAATTCAGAAGAGAAACGAAGTCTGGTTCACAAAGTCTCGTGGACAGAATAAAATTGTCTATGCAAGATGGAAACCTAGAGCCATAGGTCAGATTTAGGATGAACGAGCGAGGAAAGGTTCAAGGAGGCTAGTTAGAGGCATGTATGGCAGTGGGAGCTCAAGAGGCGCTTCAACCAAGTTTCCTCGAAGACAGTGGGTCAGGAGAACCAATATTCCAGATGTAGGAACATCTCCGGAAAATTTCTTGCTGAATATGGAGAGTATTTGTTCTCAAGATTTTCCAGGATCCGGCAGTGTTTGTCCGCAGTGGGAGCCGATAGGCACCGAGGACGAGTCAGGGGAAGATTTAGTCGTGACTGATGTGTTGGACCTTGGGAGAACTTCAACGAGCCTTTCAATTATCTAATGAGAGGGCCGGTGCAGCAGGAGAGCTGAGGAAGATTACTCGATATACAAGCAATCGTAGCGGATGGCAATTGATAATTATCAAGCCTCCAAGTGGGAGAATGTTGAGTTTGTGGATGCTTGGGCTTAACTTATTGGCCGACCTATGTTATGAAACCCTAGATGCGCTCTTCCTATGTATATTGCATACTTGTACTTGTAATAGATACCACAAGTGAAATAGAAATTCCTCCTGTTGCAGCCGTGGATTAGGAAAAGCGAACCACGTTAAATTCTTATGTGTCGTTTATGTTCCGTTTTCTCTTTTGATTCTTGCAAATTATTTATGTGTATTATGTGTTTAGTTTCCCAACATTCATGACCTCTACTATTTCAACAAATAAAAAATCATTCTAAATATTTTTTAAAATTTTTTGAAAAATAAAAATTCAAAGAATACAATTTAAAAAAATTGTTTGATTTGATCTGAATATTCAGATTTCTAGTAATTTCTGAATGAAACATTGGTTGCGTTTGGAAAATGACTTTTCGGACAACTTTTGGCATCTTTGAGTAACTTTGGCATTTTTGAATTGAACAACAAAGATCATTGTTTGGCTAATGACTTTTTACTTAGTTGTTTGATTAGAAAAGCTAAAATCTGAAAGCTTAAAGGAGTAGCTTTTGGACTTGGCTATTAGAAAATTAATTTTAAAATTTTTTCTTGAAAGATATTAAATAATATATGTAAAAATTACAAGTTAAAAAAAATTAAACAAAGAATTAAATTTAAAAATCAAAACAACCCTGATGAGAAAATCAACAGAAAAAAATCATTAAAAATTTATATACTATAATTTTTTATTAATAATATGAAAGTGAAATTTTTTATTCCATATCTTAAAGAATTAATTTTTGCATGTACAAAAATGAAAAAAATTTATTTTATATGTATATAATTTTTAAAAATTAAAATAACTATTCTTAAATACTTCCTTCGTTCCCCATAGATCTTCCCGATAGCCCTTTTTCTTTGTCCACAATAGATCTTCTCATTTCATTTTTTAACAATTAAAATACCATAACTACCCCACTTACTTTATTTATTACACCTCACCCACCTCATTTAAGACACTCCATCCATTTTCATTAAGGGTATTATGATAAACTTTCACCTTTTTTCAACTCTTATTAAAAACCACCAAAAGTCAAAATAAAAACATCTTAGGTGAACGGAGAGAATAGTGAATTTTACTCCCTCCGTCCTATAATGATCTTCCCGGTTCGCAAAACGAAAAAAAATCCCAAGTTTTTTCAATCTATTTTATTTAAATATTGGTATAGAAATAAAAAATAAAACATACATATTTAAAAAATACACCAAAAGTTCAACAAAACAAATGGTGACAAGAATATTTTATTTTATTATATAGGCCATGAAAAAACACAAATAAATATAAATTCCCGTGAAGTTGGAATAGTGCTCTGGGAAGATCATTATAGGACGGAGGGAGTATCAAACATTCTTAACTATTAGTCAACAATATGAACCGGTCAACCCAACTAAACTTCCTATATTTCTCTAATTTTCGCTCTTCTGATCCCAATTTCATTTTCCGCTTCAGCCTCCTTCTCTTCTTCTACTCCTTTCTTCCTCTTCTCTGCGTTTTCTCCCCTCTTCTTCATCGCATCTCCCCCGTCGTTCTCCATTTCTCCTTATCGTCCCTCTCTCCATCGCCTCGTCATCATCTTCTCCGACACCTTCCGGTAGAGTCTTAGGGTTAGCGTGATCTAGCGTCAGCTCTCCAATCCCCATCACCTCCTTTCTCTTTTCGGAAACAGGTAATCAATCCCTTTTCTTCTATATGCTTCGTAATTGCTTAATATTTTCCATTATGGCTTGGTTTTTGTTTGACCGCTCGCAATTTTTGCTTGTTAATTGTTGATTTTTCTAGGAGCCCTAAAAGATTTCTTATTCTGTAGTAGATTTTTTTCCCCATTCCTGTAGTACAGTTGTCTAATGAGAAGCTTGTGTGTGTTTTTCTTGTTTATTGAAGCCTGTGCGTTTTTTTTTTCAAAATTGATTTTTGAGTTTTGATTTCGGGGGGATAATCAAGCTATTGTGTATGATCTTGAATTTGTTTTCTGTTCTAAGATTGACCTGGTCTAGTTAAAAGAGGGTTTTTTGTTTGAGTATGATCAGTGTTGAATCTGTTTTACAAATGGTCTGGTCTGATCTGTTTTCTGTTGCTTTCGATTTCTCATTCTCATGCTTTTGGTGGGGTGTGACACTGAACTTCTGCAAGTTTCTTTCAATCTTGTCCCTAGGTCTGTCACTACATGAGCATCTGCTACTTTCGCTTCAAGCCAATGTGTAAAAAAATATACAGAATGCTACTCGTATTATATCTTTTTGAATCCCTACAATACAAGTTCTTTTTTGTAGTCCATAGCATTTTACTGCATATCCATAGTTGATGATGACATCCCTATTATGCATATTCATCTTCAGTATTGATTTTCCAGAAATGAACCAAACAAAAATATTCAGTTTTCATACTTTTAGCCAAATACCAGGAGAATAGGTCATTTTCTAATAGTTATTTTCCAGTATTTATTTTCCTGCTTTCCAAACAGAAAGAGATTTGATTTTCAGGAAAAGTTTTCTCCGCACACAACATCAGCCTTTCTCCTATGCTGCCTTTACCCTATGTAAAACTGAATTGGGCGTGCTGTAACTTTTTAGTATTCTTTCATCTGATTTCAGGTAGTTAAATTTCATGATTTATTTTTTCAGTTTGAATGCCAATTGTGCATCCTTGGGATCTTTCCTCGTTTTCTTTCTTCTTTTGAAGACAATATGCATCGCTGATTGATATAAAAAGTAGCTTCTCCCAAAGTAACCATATTTTTGGCTTTATGGTTTATATATTTCCCAAACTAATTTTAAAAAGTTGTGCATTTGTAGAATGTGATTTTTTTTATGGGACAGACTACTTGGCTATTTTATTATGTTGCTAATTTGAAAACTTTATATTCATTGCATATTCCTGAAACTATGAATGAATTGATTAAAGATTGTGTTAGGTAACATGGATAAGGATGGTACTCATCACGATGACAAGGGAGTAGTTTTTGTGACTGTTGGCACTACTTCGTTCGATGCTCTAGTTAAAGCAGTAAATGCTGCTGAAGTTAGGAAAGAATTGTTCAAGAAAGGCTATACCAATATAATTGTTCAAATGGGCCGTGGAACCTTTGTTCCCACAAAGGTAGTTACCCTCTGAAAACATGTTAATAGTTGAATGGTTCTAGTGTGTTGTGAAAGCTGGAAAACTTTTGTTTAGTTTAGAAAACTGTACACTGCAAAGGCGGCTTCCAAGTCTCCTCATCAGTTATAAAGTGTTGAAGAGAAGAACAGAACTTAGTAATTACTCTGAATATGTCTAAATCTCGTAGTTTACTTTTTTTAACAAAATTTATTTTTTCAAAAAATAAGAAGAATATGTCTAAATCAGCGTTTTTGAAAGAATCACACATCGTGTACAAGATACAAAGTTAAATCCAAGTACAGAACTATCGTGATTGGGAAATTTTGGTATGTACTCTTCTAGGAACATTTCTTTACTGCCTCTTAAAGAATCTGTTGCACATTTTAATTGCTTGCTTAAATATGACTTTCACCTTTTCAGTCTGTTTTAGAAGATGGATCTCCAGCCCTGGACTATTTCACTTTCTCATCGAGCATTGCCGAAAACATGAAATCAGCATCTCTTGTTATTAGTCATGCAGGTAACTTTATTCATTAAAATCAATTCGTTTTGGTTCATCTCCAGAAAATGAATTCGATTTGAAGCCCGTGTGGCTCTTTATGGCCATAATATTAATAATAATACTCCCTCCGTCTCATATCTTTTTTCTCATTTCGACTTTTGTAGTCAATGCTTTAAAACATCGACCACAAATTACGGAAAACATACATCGAATTGTTGTATAAATTTAATATCTTTAGATTCATTCTAAAACGTAGTTTTGGAATATCATATTTTTATAAGTTATGCTTATATATAAATAAAGATATAAATGGTCAAAGTATTGCATCGGAGACCGTGAAAAAATTAAATGGGAAGAGAGATATGGGATGGAGGGAGTAATTTGTGAATTGCAATGCAGGATCAGGGAGCATATTTGAGACATTGAGGCTAGGTAAACCATTGATTGTGGTAGTCAATGAGGATTTAATGGACAATCATCAAAGCGAGCTAGCTGAAGAGCTCGCAGACCGAAAACATTTGTTTTGTGCCCGTCCACATTCGCTGTACCAAACCATCAGAGACATGGATTTAGAATCTCTTGTTCCATACCAACCTGGAGATGCCAAGCCAGTAGCTGAACTCATTTATAGACACCTTGGTTTCCCGGAGTAATGGTGATGGTATCTTGTCCTCATATGACCCATTTGGTTGGTATGTATGCCCTTTTATCTGTTTTTCATACATCCGATGTGGTTTCATACCTTCCAAATATTTTTCAGTTCGTGACATTTGACCCTCTTTGGGGGCCAATGTCTTCGTTAGTCACACCCACCTTACCGGGCCATCACTCTGAGTCGGCTCTGATACCATTTGATATAGGCCAAATTGGAGAGTTCATCTAAAAGAACCAGCTTGTTAGGACAAGTTTTGTATATTGCAAATGATTTCAGTTTGTAATAGTAGATTATTATGGTAAAATCCTGGGATAAGAATTTGGAAGTCTTATCTTGATAGGGAGTATAGTATTGGTATTTTAATTTTGTTTGGCAGGTAGGTTTTGTTGACACAGAGAACACCAACCACTGTTCATTTGAGGCCTCTATGATGTTTCATTTGACCCCGAAGCGGTTCCTATTCCTTCTTAGTAGGAAGCACCTGAGACCCCGCTCCTAACCCACTCCCTCCAATCGGAGCACTCCAAATTAGTTGACATTTCGGTCTAAGTTTAGACCAAAATATTTTAACTAATTTGGGGTGCTTCAACTAGATGGGCTAGCTGCCGGAGTGGGTAGGAGGCGGGGTTGGGATGGATGGTTTTAAGAGAAGATTAGGGGATAAGAACTATTTTGGCGTCGAATGAAATATCATAAACATCTCAAATAGGCATTGTTGATTGGTCACTGTAACTCTAGTATTAACAGGATAAATATGATAAGTAATGTAGACATGTAGTACTCTTTGACCGTTCCAAAAAAAAATGTAGTACTCTTCCGTCTCAAATTAAAGTACATGTTAACTATTCACACCGTCAAAGTTTAAAACAGTAGGGTTCCCATGACATTGGAACCCCTTGATAAAATAATATAATCATGTCACTACTAGTTGTATATCTTTAGATGTATTTTTTAAATATGTCATTTTTAATTTTTAATTCTGCATCGTATTTCATATAAAGTAGTTTGAAAATAAATTCAGTCAAATATCGTATATCAAAATAGACGATTTAAATTGGGTCTGAGAGTCGCAGTACTCATTCAACAAATGTTTCTTAAACATTGCTAAGGGAAGACCGTGGAAGCATGATGGTAAAGTTGCACGGGGCTGGGGTCGGAGGTTTGCCGGGGGTTAGGGTAAGGAATGTGGGAAACATTAATTTTTTGAACGAACTATCGTAGGAATCTCAATTAGATGAATGTCAGAATATGACACCTAAAATGAATGTTATTTCAACCTTGTCTTATTTATAATCAAAACCTTTACACTTCTGCCATTTCAAAACGTTCTTATTTTTCTTTTTTGAAAAAAAAAACTAAATAAGAAGTAAAATATTGAAAATATACTAAAATTGGAGGTTTATGTTTTTATTTTCGAAATAGAATTAAAATGTACTTGCATTACTAATCATGACTACGTTATTACTCTGTACCAAAAAGTATAGTCAAATACACATGTACAGTGTCACATTATTACAGTGTAAACTTATATTTAGATAATAAAAACATAGAACTCCTATTGTTGGTACTTCTTTATATTTTACTTCTTTAATTTAGATAACAACAATGCACTCAACTTTTGGATTGCTTTTAAACCATAGACTACTTCAACGAAGCACCCTATTAGTTTCACGGTAGAATGACTTCAAATATCACTCAAGAATATTATGATGAATATGGTGTATCGTCAAGGTTGTATGACAAAGGCATATTAAGGATGATGGACATGTTTTAGCTAGCTCAATTATGTTCTACTCGAAGCAGATAAGAATTATATTACAAAATAAAGAACTACTTGTTTGTCAAAAAATAATGGGAGAACTTCCCGGATAAGAGTAAAAAACTATGAAAATATTAAAATATGATTCCTAAGTCTTTTAAAACTAAAACAAGAGTTTACACAACTATTTTTACATTGTCACATTTACCACATTATCACATTACAACTGTCACGTTGTCATTCGTCGTTGCCAGCCACTAGAGTACCATTGCGGATCACTAACATTTGAATGATCACATTGTCATACAACACTGTAATAACTTATCCATAACGTTGTCATTGCGTACTCTTACATCACACTGTCATTATACTGATATTTTAGTCGTAAAAAACTTGGGGCTTCTATATATACTTTGATATTTTAATACTTGTTTACTCCTATTCATGAAGATTTCTTTAAAATAACACCAATAAGAGTTTAAGACCAAACTCTTAAACTAGCATGTGAAGCATTATAAGGAACTAAAAATCTCTTCTATTCCTTTTTTGAATTAAAAATGCCAAAATTTTATTACTTTCTCCATCTCAATTTTGCTCTAGTTTTATTTCTTTGAGTCAAATTGAACAAGCTTTAGCCTGGATTTCAATTACTCTCTATTTGAATTTCATATTAATATAATGAGTTAAAACTTTGAAAATCCTCAATATGATAAAATCTATATCGAATAAATTATTTTATACTAATATATGCTACATTTTTTATTCAATTCAGATTTAAAATTCATTCAAGTTGATTTAAAAAATCAAAATGTACGAATATATTAGGACCGAGATAACATAAAAAAACTAAGACAAAAATTTGTGAAAGAATAAAATTTAAAAAGTGGGGCTAAGGATTCAATCAATTAGCTCACTTTCTTATCAAATCCACCAACCCAAAGCCAAACACATGCATGCATAGCAACTTCGATATATGTAAGATTGAGATTCATATCATTGTAATAAAACAAGCCAAGTGAATGTACATTTGACAAGGGACTATATATGACATCTTTCTTTTTATAGTACCTTTTGTTCCATCAATGATATATTGGAATCTTCCATTCTGCTAATTAAATACGGAGTACTGAGAATTTCATCTCTATATATAGAAAATAAATAGGGTAGGTATCGTAATCATATAGTAGAATAATAATTATAGAAGCAATAGACTAGGGAGGGTAATTATTAATAATATTTGAACTCGTATTATCCTCTCGCAAGTTCATCAATGGTGACGAGGACAACTTCGAGCACAAGTACTCGAATGAAGCTAGCGGTAGCGTTTTCGTAAGAATGTATGCAAATTGCTAATGCTCAGAAGATAGTGAAATCTTGTATGCGTATAGAGATTACCCAAACAGAACTTATTTGCACGCACTATCGAAACAAACTGAACAAAGACACCATAAAAACTCTACAACACAAGTTACCTAGATGAATATTTTATGAGGTACTGTAACATCTTCTGTGTCACACCACATATATTTCCAGGGTGGTTGGGGCAGGGGTTTAGGATGAGGGTTTCAAAGGTAGAAACCATCAATTTTACCAACGGAGTATTGAGGTGCTCGAGTCATTCTCGAATTATATATATATATATATATATATATATATATATATATATATATATATATATATATATATATATATATATATATATATATA